ACTGGTCCCAAACAGCTTGATTGACACCTGCACTGTTGCTATAAGTGCTGACAGATTTCGCGCCTAGAGTGGGCTGACAACTGCCACAGGTGGCGCCTGTGGCAGTTGCCAGCCCACTCTAGGCGCCCCTAACTTGGTGAAAATCGTATTGAATATTGACCGTGTCAGGTAAGGGGCGGGGTTCATCAGAAGTAGTCGTCTCGTACAGCGAGCCGACGAGCGTGGGATCGTCGTCAGAGACGTCAGATAGTCCGTCCAGGAAAGCCGTCTGCGCGGACCACGCCTTCAGCGACTTCCCGAGGACCGACTATGAAACATTTCAGTAGTTGAGTGATCCGGACGGGTTATCTCGCCTGGCAGTCGCATAGCATGACCTGGGAGCGGACCAGTCGATCACATTTCGTAGCACGCCGTGCGCGGCACACCGTGCGGCGATGTGCGGCAAATTTTCAGTGTCGATGAGTTTATCGACTGGAGCAAGAAAAGTGTGTACTTTTCAGCGGAAGCAAGACTTTGCCCAACTATGTTTTTTCCGTCTTCAACAGTCGGTTTCAGGCAAGACTATTCGTATCGCAGGCGCGGTGTCGCTCGCCACGCCCACCAGGGCGGTATATCGCCATTGTCAGGGCACGCCATCGCGTTGTGATCATTTCCTGAAAAATACGACCCCCCCTAATTCTATCCTCAAATACGACCCCCCCCCCCATGCTACCTACCACTTTCCTAGATTTTCCCAACTTCCTACCACTTTTTCCATTTTTCCCGAAAAATTTCCAGTTTTTTCAGCCAAGAATTTTCCGTCGAGCGGGGGGGGGGTATATACCCAATGTGAAACAGGAAAATTTCTCAGATTTTCTCCTAACCTCCTACCAGTTTTTCCGAAATTTCCTTCTGGTTTTTCCCCAAAATTTTGCTGTCGAGGGGGGGGAGAGGTCGTCAGGATTTAACTATCATTTTCAACTATCGGAAATAGTAGTTGTATAGATCTTTGGCAGTCCCTCTCTCAACAACGGCCAAATACGACCCCCTCTCCGCTTTTTATAGCCGTCGTAGCCGTGAAAGCCGTTGTAGCCGTGAAACGAGAGAAATCTACTACCAAAAAATTTCAGACCAAATACGACCCCCCCCCACTCCCTCGCGGTCAAATACGACCCTCCCCCCGTTGTGATCATCAGAACGATGGCATGCCCTGGCTCCAATGTAGTCGCGCGAAAAGACAGCCTTCGTGGGTTCATGAGCTTGGAGTGCGTTAGACACCACTGGACTTGTCCAACATGTTAGGATGTGAACAAACGTGTTTAATACCTTAGCTTCCGGTTTTTTTTTGCGGCGTTGTTCAACTTACTGCTTTTCATTTCAGGCCAGCGACAATTGTCCGCCAATCACCCTCAATGAAAATATTGCAGAAATCGTTGTCGGTCTGCAATCAGTCAAAGTTGCCTAATTAATAACGTGGCTATTTCGTGTACTTTATCGAATTTGGAAATGTTTCTCATGTCGCTTTAGTTTTCAAAATCGTATATTTTGTGCATTGCTGTCGACCATTTTTCCTGATCATGATCATTTTTGATTCTGAATAAATCCGCACATTTACATTAGTTTTTGTATTGTGGAGACTTGACTGCTGGGAAAGTGATGAGACTGTTAGCGTCAGTTTTGAGCGAGTGACCAGAGGGTACTCGGTTCCTCATTGGGATCCCTCATCTTATTAGAAAAAAATCGCTTCAGTTTTCAACAAGTTTTCCATGAAGTTTTTTTACACTCCTGCACTAGTCATAACGTGCCTTGTAGATCGATGAGTTTTTCGAAATTCGCGGGATTTCTCCTTAATCAGGCTCCCATTATACGGTAAAAAGACGCGATCAAATCCTACTGGCCTAAATATGAAGATCTGGGGGTGGCTGTTAATGAGCGGATTCTTAAAATCTTCATAAGGCGTTATGCTGTTTACGTAGGTATCTGTTGTTCTTGTTAGCTGCTTTGTAGAGAAATTGGTGTCTTGGCGAACTTCGATCAGTTTCTTTGTAATCTTGAAGTTATACAGTTGTTTTGTGATTTATTCAGGCTTGCTAGCTCTCATAATTTCTGTAGTTAGGAGGGGATGCATACATGCTCGGCTTATCAACATCGCACTCCGTATGCTTCTTCCGGCTCACCACTCAGAGGATATCACTCACTGCCACGACATGATGATAATGTGCATATTTTAATCTCATATTCAGCCGAATTCGTTGTATGACCCGTCTTTCACGAGACGTTTATTCAGGTATTCCCCACTTACTCAGCAGTTCGAGGACTAACACCCAGGTGTCGCCGTCTGTCAGCGGCCGCAGCTGACTGCCGACTGAGAAGCAGTGGTAGTGATGGAAGAAGTAGCGTTGCTCATTGACAAGTTTCTATTCCTGATTCCATCCATTCTTCCCGATTATGTAATTTTGGATTTATGCTCTTTTTACTGGAGTTCTCAGAGATAACCACCACGAAGATTACGACACGCCCTTTGTGGTTTTCTGGATAGGCCTTGCCCGCAGTATGGAACACTGCGGAATCGACGAAAGAAACGCATTCCAGAAAAGGTTCCGATGTGTATCGATGGAGAGGTTCAGCGGACGCGCTGAAAGAGGTGCGTATCGATCGGAGGAACCGGCAGCGCCAGCGGGCAAAGCTGGCGCTCCTACCGTCGACGATTCTCCCTGTCGATATGCATTTGTTTTTCCGCCAATTTTCCGATTCGTGGGTAGCATACCATGAACAGTGTCTACTCGCATCCACCTGTCCAACTCACTTGCGGGCTTAGCGACTCTGAATTATTCACCTCAAGGAGTAGGAGAATAGGAGAACGTGGACACGACGCGTTCTTAGAAATGTGGGGATCGATTGGACCGCTCACTAGGGCTCCCGGAAGGTTCTCGAACTCAGTTCGGTAGGCTCCCATTTAGTTCACCCTTTATTGTTCATAAGTCGATAAGGCAGACATAAAACAGTACAGTGACTGGGGTGACTACGATTGTGAAAGTCGCTAATAATTGCTAAAAGAAAATCAACAATTCTTTTTTTTTCTTCTGAATGGGACTTTTACATTGCAAGGAGAGCAAAGAGGAGAGAGGCAGAGAGCTTGACATGGGAGGCTTGGATGCGTGATTTTCGATTTGAGCGTTTCATATGAGATTTTATTTCACTCTCGCCATGCTCTGGATTTACGGATGACCTGCAGAAATAGCCGAATCAATTCACCGATCTGCAGTCACTCGTAGAATCGATCACTATCCGATCACTACTGGTCTGATCCCACCGGTCCAGACAATTTTAGGCTGCGTTCATACTTTGCATCAGCGTCCAACAACTGCCCAGGAGTGGAGAGTATTGGGAAATGAGAAGATAGCAGACAGCTAGATTGAGCGTCGTGAAACTGCGACGTGTGGAACCGCAACGTGCAACTACTAGAGCCTGGAATCATTCAGTCTTGATATACAGTGTAGTGCACTCGTACGGTGCGGTTGCACACGTCGCAATTTCACGACGCCTAATCCAGCTGTCTGCTACCCTCCTACTTCCCCATACTCTCCACTCCTGGACGCTGGTGGACGCTGACGCAAAGTGTGACCGCAGCCTCACGACTGTTTGTAATCACAACAACGTAGCGTGATGTAGAGATTGAATACGTTACGATACTACCTGGCAGGATGATTAGATTTTATGTATTGCCTTCACTATGCCCGGATCTTCTGACATCGTTTCTATAAAATTGAATTTGAATTACCAAGCGTGGTTCTGGGCTGTATTGAAACATTTACATTGATCGAGAAAAAATGGAGGTGATTATGGAGGTTAGTGGCCACGGTCTATAATATTGGTCGGGAAGTTTGGGGCATTTTGGAATACTGGCTTGTTTTCGAAATAATGCGAATATGTGCAAACCATTCAAGTTTCTTAAGAATCGCCTTCATTCGCTTCCGGGTCGCCCGATGGTGCTTCACACATGGATTGTTCACTGGAATACCTAGCAGATCTTGTAAAGGAAAAGAAGGATCTCGAGATGTTCGTGGATAACTTCCAACACGTTGAACGTCTCCTCAACGAGGGTTTGTCCATGATTAAATGTCTCATTAGAGTGGGGTATATGGGAAATGCGAATCGTCGCTCTCACGTTCTGCTTTGTTCACCAAATCGTCATCCAGAAATGAGCAGCTCACGCAGCTTCAAGTTCACGTCTGATCATTTTGTATCAGACAAGAGATCGTTCGGCAAAAGCACGGGGAAAGTATAGAGGGTATCGCGCATTCTACTCCCAAAATGCTTCAAAGGCAGTGTCACTCACATTGCAGCAGTGTCACTCGGATTGGAATGATAGGGCTTATGGGCTTGGTCGTAAACGTCGTCCTTGTAGACAGTTGCCTGTTCGGGCAGAGAAGCAGACAGCAGATAGTACTCTCCTCATCATTACGGACTGTCGGGTCAGTGCGGCTGCGTTTTCCGCGGTGCCAAAGTCTTTCTGCACCAGTTGTTGAAGCGAGCAAATGACATGACAGCATTATATCCTTCGTATTACTCGTTTTCTACCACTTTTTGTCGCATACGCGTTTCAACGAAAAGGCTGAGAACGGCTTCAAACAGTGTGCGCACTCCTACTGGCTGATACGCCCCGACAGTCCGTAATGATGAGAGTAGATAACTTGGGAGTCAAAGAGCGCAGACGGTACAAGGGAACCACGAACCCCCTCGCAGCTTTCTGTTAACAGGCAACGGTCTACCGCTACTTTGCTGAAGCGAATGGTGGATACTCCCAAAACGACCTGGTGGTGTAGCGAGACCTGGTGGCGTTGTGCGCATTTTGGTGCACGGCGTCCGAAACTATGGATTCGAGCATCACCACTTTACGCTGCTCTGTTCCCATCCGAATTTGCGTTTCCACGAGCTCCTACGCTCGACTACCGTACCGAAGCGCATACTGAAGACAATCTACTTACAACTTGAACTCCTTCAAATGCGCCATCCTTTTGCTATTCTCAGCACTCGCGTTTGCAGCCATTATATGACCACCGCGACCTCACACAATACAACTTCCACGCTTGGTAAGTGGCTCATTCACCTCGGAGCACCTCCCTCTGAAAGAGCTCATCTCCTTGCTTGCGACATGATTTTGGCACCTTCCAATGGATGCCTTCGCAGCTGCACTCTACTATGCGGAAGTAAAGTTGCCAAGTTTCTTTTCGAAAAACTGGTAACTTCTCTATTTCAGCCAGTCAAAATATGCCTCGAACAAGGCAGAATCTGAGGTCGGGATATCTCCTCGTTTCCCTGCTCAGGCCGCGTTCATACTTAGCGATTAGAAAAGTATAGATATCGATTTAGCGTACGCTACCGTACGGCAGCGTTCTGAACGTGTGCCGACGTTCGTGAGTCTTTCGAAGTAATAGGAAAACATAAATATCGATCTAGCGTTTTGAGCATTTCGCGGGTAGTCTTAGACATTTGGCGGCATAACGTTGACGTACGTTAAAAACGCTGCCGTACGCTCAAAACGCTGATGCAAAGTTGAACGAAACTTTGAGCCCGGATAGCTGGTTTTAAGCTGGTCATGCTGCTCTCCTAGAGTTCGTTTCCTCTATGAGAGCAGCATGACCAGCAGAACAGTTTTACAGAGTTCAAAAACAGTATGAGCGCTGCTACTATACCTTTGTGGTATGGTAATGCCGGTGATTTTTGTTCCTTAGGCAGGTCCAAAGGGTAATTTTCATTAGAAGAAGCAAAATTACGACAAGCTCAATATGCAACCATTGCGGTTTTCGCATTACAGAGATTTCAAGAGTGCGCGGAGCACTATTCCAAACAGAGTTCGTCACTGAACCTTTCGATTTGCCAGAACCTATTGGAGATGTGGTCACTATCACTGAGAAAATCTACGTTCCTAAGAGAGAATATCCTGACGTGGGTTCGCCGATGTCCACACAATAATCATGTAATACAGATTGGAGCATGTTTAGTATAACTTCGTCGGACGGATTCTCGGACCGCGTGGTATGACTGCCAAACAGCTGGAGCAGGAAACTGGCTGCAAAATCATGGTTAGAGGCAAAGGATCAATGCGTGATAAAAGAAAGGTTTGAAATGAAGGGTTGACTGATAACGCTGTCCATGAAAGACGATATAGTCACTGAGAATTATTCAAGGAGGAAGCAAATCGAGGTAAACCGAATTGGGAACACTTGGACGACGAGCTGCATGTGCTCTTACAGTGCGAAGATACCGAAAACAGGGCGAGGATAAAGTTGCGCGCGGCTATGGACCACGTGAAGAAGCTTCTCGTTCCGGCGGTACGTTCAATTAAGAAATAAACTGAGAATAGCAATTACCTTCACTCTAGTTTGCTGCAGACGGTTCTTGTCAGGCATTATGAGTGTGTCACCCCGTCAAAGCCGTTCTCTGCCTTCTTGTTGAAGCGCGCAAAAAGTGGTAGAAAACGAGTAATACGAACGATATGATACAGTCATATCATTTGCTCGCTTTAACAACTGGTGGAGAACGGGCCGCGCTAAACTCATCCCGCCTGACACGCCCGACTGTCCGCAGCGCACTATATGTTACCTCCAACCTCGTAGTTATTGACACTATTTTACTTGTTACACTTGCCTTCTTTCAGCCCGAAGGAACAGATGAACTCAAAAGGAAGCAACTCATGGAGTTAGCCATTATAAATGGAACATATAGACCTTTTCACAAATCTGGATTATGTAAACTTCAGGTTTTGTACTTTCTTGGACTGATATTATGATAGGGCTGCCTTTCAGCAAACTCGAATCGAATTATAACCCCTGTACCACTTGTCTCTCCAATCCGCGCTCCTATTTTCGTTTCACCAACAAGCAGCCCTAACAACGGAATGGTACAGGTAACTGCCATATTAGAAGAAACAATTTCCGCAGCCTAGTTCTATTTAAAAAGATGTTTTGCAGAAGCCTTCAAATCCAGGATATATTGGAACAAACTCACAGCAGCCGTTTGACTATTCTTCATTCATGAAGTGAGTTTGACGCCATTTTTGAGTAGATGAGGTGGTCTCGTTCCAGAAGAGGGCGAGAAGTTTAGAAACGCTATCAAAGAGAGCGTATCCAACATCCAATGAATAGCTTATCTCCTCCCTCACTTTTCCATTGCAAGCCTCGGCGCCGACGTAGTTGACGGGGAGGCGGACGAGAGGACAAGACAATCGTAACACGCCGCGTGGCCGCGCGCCGCGTGAGTGCTTGCGATGCACTGCAAATGCTCTGTATCTATCATTAAGTCGACAGCAATAGCTAAACTCGAATGAATTCAAGCGCAGACAAGTTTCCATGATAGGTGATGTAGAATTTTCGCCTCCCTCTGATACAAATTCAAACCGCCGAGGAGTACAGCTCGTCCGTCGGGTGCGAGTCGCTGACCGCGCCCGCCGGCCGTCAGGTTAAAGTCATCTTGTCACTTACCTGTTGACGGACCATGTGGAGACGCCATAAGGCTTCCACTGTGCCTCTCACCAGCATAGTCTTTCCTTCCTTCTTTCACACTAAACTTCAGTGAACGCAAACGACTAGAGTGGCCGCAGTTAATTTTTCCACGTGGCCGCGTCCAACTACGTTGGCAACCGAGCTCGACGCAGTTCGGCACGGGGGGCACCTTGCACTTTGGCTGCTTTCCTAGTTACGGTTCACATGTCGTGCTCACGTGAAATCTGTGAACTTTGTGAAGCTGGAACAAGCTCGTCGGGCCCTTATGATCCAAGCTGCCAACTCTTGTGAGCTCCCGAAATAGCTCTGCAGATGGCTCGACACGTCGATGGGAACTAGCAAAGAAGCCAAATGCCCCCCTCCCCCGAGCATTAATTTCGTTACTGTTTGAAAAACCAAGCAGCTAGTTAATGTGTTACAAATTGTAAACTATTCTGAAGGTTTTCTTAATCGAGAAGTTTCAGTTCGAACTTCCTTGAGTCAGCACTGGCATCTTTCCAAATTGCTAACGAGCTGCACCTTCCCACATTTCCAACAGCTACCTCATTAGTGAACTCCTTCCCATCGCTTTTTATGAACACATCTGCAAATTCTGTCACAACACAAGATACGTCCACTTCAGCTACAGCTCTCAGCCCAACGAAGTGTTTTTGATTAGGTGACGGCTAGCTTCACAGTTTTGCGCACAATTTTAGGACTTATATCTTGAATGAATTTACTGTACTGGATTATTACTTGTAGCAAGTCATCATGGTGTCGCTACAGACGCTGCTTTATGATCTCCTAAACGACTGTTTTGACGCCATAATGGCTGTTTTTTCGTTTCAAGTTCTTTTGAGATTCTCACGTAATAATCTGAGCTCACATGTTTAACTTTGTTAAATGTTTTTTTTTCGTTTTTAATGATTTTTTTGTCGCAGATGTAACTTACGTCCTTACGAAGTTCCCTGCCGCTTGACCTTCCTTGTGAATGATTGTTATTTCGTTTCTGTTACTGTTCATATTTTTCAAAGTTTAGTTGTGTTCTTGTTTGCTGTTTTTTATCCTTTCATTGACCTCTGGTCGCTTTCACGTCGTCAGTACTTCAGCTTGTTGATGTCAACAAGTATGGTGGATGTCGTCCTTGTTTGCTATAGCAGCCTTTCATATTCTTTATGGATTTGAACGGTTCTGTTTCGAAGGAGCAAACGCAACTCTTCCACCATTCTCAGAGCAATGGAACAGCAAGAAGACCCGTGATAGTTGGTCGAAATGGGAGGAGATCATGCCTTGATGCTGCCGTGCTCTTCGTTCGATCCCACCTTCGGGAGACAGGTTTAAGAAACAGGAGCATCAAGGCGGTATCGAGATCTCCACCCATTTCGACCACCTATCACGAGCGTTATAGCTGTTACAATGTTCTGAGTTAGTCTTTGTAAGTGAATGAAGAACTGTGAATCGTCATTCGGAGTGCCATTTCCAAGGTTAATGAAATGGTTTTTAAAAATCACTTTGACCCACATGATCACCGTACATAGCTATTACATGCACACGACTGCTCGTTGCAGTTTGAACAGGTCATTAAAAAATAGAAGAAAAAAAAAACCACGGCTCACGCAGGGCTCGCCCTTGGTTTTTAGTCAAGTCGGATACCTGACAAGACAATCATAGTATACGAGCCATGAGGTCTTGACTCTGCTCAAATTGGTATGAGTTTTGATGTTCCAATCGACAAAACGCACAGCAATAAGTTGCCGCACGATGCGCCATCGCGACGACGCGAGAAATCCCGATTGTTTTGTCCGTCTCTCAGTCAAGTCCACCTTATCTTGAACTCGCAGTTAAGGATCTCAGAAAAAATGAATAAGTTTATTGTCATGATCTGTTCAATCTATACTGTACTAATATAATAAAAGGTAGACTAATCATCTATTCTTCATTCATTAGTTGTTATTCTTTTTGTTTCCCGAGTCACAATCAAGGGTTGTCGAGACAGGGCACAGCATTGAGGTGGGACGAAAGACGGTGTCAGTAGACCCCTCAAAGAGAATTCCAGTACCCACGTCCCTCCATCCCATCTTCTAGCTTCCTAATTTTTCCATGTTCTTACCATTGTACCAAGAAATCCGTTTTTTTTTCTCCAGAAAGAGCTGTAGAGCCGGAGTTGGGGGATGAGGGCGTATAACTGGAAGGGAAAAATCGGGAAAAATCAATGAATGAGACAATCTCTCGCAGTCTGGGAACATTTCTGTCGAAACCAGATGCAACCCCTCCTCTTCCCGACGGCCAAGTAAGACTCTCCGATGGGATTCTCCAACTATGCTGTTTACTGCCTCTAGAACCCCCTGTAATAGTGTCGCTGCCAGAGCATACAGGACCGAAAAGCTCACGATGGGGGCTCATCAGAAATGCTCTGATACAGGTGAAAAAGATAGCATGCTCACTGAGTTGTTCAACTTCTTGTGATTCAGTATTCGGTTTAGTCCGATTCAAAACTGAAAATAGTACAAGAACTCGATCATTTATACATCGCACCATCCCCCGCTTTCGGCGAATAAATAAGTTATAATAATCAATAGACATTTGAAATGAGCACACAAGACAGTGATATGTTAGTGTTAAAAGCTTAATAATGTTTCCCTACAAGCCTACACAATTTTTACCTCACTACCTTTTTTCCAACGGAATCCATAAATGAGCCCTTCTTCAAAGGCAAGAACCGGAAAATGGTGATAGCCCTTCGTTGGAAGAGACGAACCACGTGATCCGAGGATAATGTTCTTGCCAGATGGTTGGAAAAGATGTATGTCATTGGGTGAAGCAACCTAAATACCAGCTCTACGAAGATAGGCTTCATCTGAGAACAACGCGCGAATAGGGCGGTAGTGCAGCTTGGTGCGCAGCCAGGGCAGATTTCTCACCAAGTGTAACGGGCTCAGGATGGTTTTATTGTCGTCGGTACGCGATCGAGCGCGCTCCAGCGCTATAACCTGGACCGCTCCGAGTGCATAAGGAAGAATGGGCTCGATTCGTGCTTTTTTTTCTAATTCTTTGTCTCAGGTACTAAAGCTTGTTTGATTCAAGGATTCAATGGAAACAAAAGGAACAAAAAGAAGCTCGCTCAGAGGATGAAGTTGCCCTAATCCGTCCTCGAAAAAAGGCGAAACCTCTCCCCTCCCTTCCTCATATTCCAGATCCTCTTAAGAATATAAATCGTAAGTTTTCATTAGCAGCCATTATCAAGAGAAAAAGGTCTTATAAGTTGGATTCCCTCATTTATTACAGCGAACGGTCCAAGTAATAGCGTTGATGCGCACTCTGTCACGTACCAACAATCGCGGCGATCGCTACGATCACGATTGCCGTGACCGCCGCTATTGCCACGAAGTTTGAACGCTGCTCAAGTGTTAGAATGGGATTGAAAGCGGTCAAATGGCGTAGTTAGCAACTGCTGCTGGACAGCTACTGACCGTAGTTGCTCGCTCTACCCCACCTATGCAGCCTTTCGTTTCTAAAAGGAAACTTGTTAGGTTGCGTGTCATCTCGATTGAAGTGCTTGATCAACTTCCATTGGCAAGACAGCCCACTTATGACTTGACCAAGCATTTCCGAAAGTGTAGTTAAAGGGTCGGGTGAAATAAGTCTAACTTCCTTCCGACTTATTTCGCCCGATCCTTTGTTGCATCCCGTTATTATGTTGCTACTTATTAGGAAAAGTCATTTAATTATTGGGGTTGATTAAAGACAGCTCCTGCGATAAAAGTGTCATGGATAGTTGCTTTTCAATTACGAAACAGTAGCTGATAAGTAATTCTCCAAAGAAGAGAAAAAGCAAGAAGAGTTCTCAAGAACACCATAAACAAGATCGCTCCCTGTCAGTCACACAGCCCTGCGGTCATTGTGCAACCCCTGGCTCACAAATCCCTTTTTCGCATCTCCCAGTAATGGATATCATGCAAAAAAAGAATACGGAAAACAACAAAAACACGGAAGAAAAACTCTTGAAAAGGAAAATAAACTTTTAAAAACTCGGCGTCCGAATTAAGGGTTACGGTAGCGTGCATCTTTTAGTGTGTTTAGTGCGTCGAGCTTTTGCACCACGAAAATTGGGTCGCTCGTGATTTTTACGCGTTTTACCTTGCGAGATGAAGTTGACTGTATGTGCTGCTAATGAATAAAATGTAATAAAGGAAAGCAGAATTATTTATGGGCACGAGCGTGGTCAGCGAAAAGGACATGAATGCCGATTAATGCCCGCCGCCCCAACAAAGAACAACTGAGCGGCCCTCCGTCGGAGGGCATCTAGCAAGTGAGGCGGTCCAACTGAGCGGGCGTTAGAACTAGAACTTTGAGCGGCTGTAGCTTGCTCCTCGCTCGTTGTGGAGTCGCGAGAGTGGGACAGTCTCTAGCTTGGGGGCTGTACTACTTGCACAAGGAAGGATGACCATGTACTACTTGAGCGCGGGGGCTGTCTTTAAGCACATCAACCAAGTTGATGAGCTCGACCAGTTTTCCAGTGCAAAAGAAACGCTGCATAGGTGGGGTAGAGGTGGCAATTGCGATAATTAGCGCCCCAGTAGCAGTATGACATCGCCAGCTGCGCCTTTCGACATACATACTCTCCTCATCATTACGGACTGTCGGGGCGTATCAGCCAGTAGGAGTGCGCACACTGTTTGAAGCCGTTCTCAGCCTTTTCGTTGAAACGCGTATGCGACAAAAAGTGGTAGAAAACGAGTAATACGAAGGATATAATGCTGTCATGTCATTTGCTCGCTTCAACAACTGGTGCAGAAAGACTTTGGCACCGCGGAAAACGCAGCCGCACTGACCCGCCCCGACAGTCCGTAATGATGAGGAGAGTACACCCAAATAAAAGGATCACTCTCGCGGGCAGCCACGGGGCCCTTCTCAACTGATGTATCGCCAAATTGTCTAGGGACCCAGTTGTTACGAGAAACATACCGTCATTGATGGATCCTCAGGTTCGTATGCTTCCGTCATGTCATCTTCTTTTGAACTCAATTTCGGGGCAGAAGTGAAGCATTCGAGTTTCCTGAAAAGAAATACAGTAGGTTCGTACGAGCAGCTTGAAAGATGGGGGAAACTATAGACTTCGTGAGGGCATCAATCTCGTCTGCTAGTTGCTTTTTCTCCGTTTCAATCTTTTCAACCATATGCAGAAGTCGATCCTCTAGCTCTTCATTCCGATTCTTCTGATGTTGAAACTGCTCTTCTAATAAAGCGTACTTTTTGCGCCAGTACTCGATTTCTGCATCTTCCATGGGGTTTCAACTCTGAACCCTGAATACTTGAAAATTTATCCATCGAGAACCGACAAAGGACATGTTAAATTGACCGCACTGTAATGAGCCATACAGTCGTTTTAGGGGCAAAGGTATAGCTGCCAGTGCCCGCGTGAAAGAGGCAAAGATGTATAAGTGGGACAGTCGCGGGAACACGCAGCCGTCGCTGGGATGCCCCTTGCGTACGGATGATATATAGCAAACGTGTTTTTGGACACTGATCTCGAATATGTCTTCTGGGTTTGCAGGAGGATTCCCTGGACAGGTTCTTATGCTCTCCAAGGCGTAGTGACGTGACTAAAACGGCATCATAAATCGTCCCACTGCGTGGTCCTAGGGAGCTAACTGAGTCTACCTAGAGAATACTCAGATATTTTCATTCTGTGCTTCACCGAGACGTATATCTCCAAAACTTCACCCAAAGCAGCTCGGCTAGCAGACCTCTTGCAATCAAGAAAGTCAAAAGATGGGTTAGTTTCCAGGAGTGCGCGGAATCAAAATCGAAGGGATAATTCGGGATAAAGGTTCCTTTTTTCATTCCAAATTCCTCACATACAGGAGCTCAAAACTCTAGCATTCCAGCGTTTTAGTTCAATGCTTTAGGAATCATCACATAGGATGTTCATAAGTTGCGTAATTTTAGAATTGTTGAGGCTTTCCGCGCTGCAGTGATAAGAGAGGCCATGTGGGCTCACCAACGTCTCATACCGAGATTGGGGTCCCCTGCCCCCCAAGGCTCAGTCTTGAAAGAGCCCAAACGATCAAATTCTATCTGGTCCCCGTCTCCCTCCAACTACAGTTAGGATGAGACGTATAGAGTTATCCCGAGTGGCGGCAGACGTAGCGAAAGAGTTCCTCTCAATACTAAGGCTGCGTTCATACTTGGCGTCAGCATACGTCAGTACCACCGAATAGAAGAGTGTAGACATCGATCTAGCGAACGCCAGTGTATGCCAGCGATTGGAAAGAATGGGTATCGATCTGGCAAACATCGCCGACTAGGAAAATCAGGATATCGCTCTAGCGAACGCTTAGCGTATGCCAGCGTTTTCGCAGGTAATTGAGCTTGACCAAAACCACCCGCTAGAAGGCGCTGTTAGCGTAGTACGTTGGCGCACGCTAGATCAATATCTATACTTTCCCACTCACTGTGGTGGCGCACTGAAATCATTCCGTACACTACGCAAGTGAAGCTCGGTGAAGTGCTGCCTGCACACGTGTTGACCGGACGCACGCAGCATTCGCACCGGGACCCAATCCACTCACCGTAGCAGTGTTGTGGCGTGCCACAATAACGATTATTCAGTGCAGCGTGTCTCACAAAAGAATTTAGGCGTGAGGTTAAGTGCATTGCGATAGTCGGCTACGGACTCACACCATACTCGACGCGCTTTACCTAAAAAAAGCGGTCGTAGCCATTTTGTCGACATGTGCCTTGCGCTGCTGTAACAAAGTGTGAACTGTTTCAGGGTATAATGCACTGCAGGAAGTCAAACTAAAACTATTGTTGAGAAAAAGCGGACCTTTTCCCGTCAACAAGTTGAAATTCTCATCAACTTGAGAGGAAGGGCAGTTTTCGTTCTGCAGAAACTAAGGTTTCCATGATTTTTTCCCATATAGTCTAATCTTATTTCACTGATAATCAGAGCACCAATCGTCCCTATAACCAGAGGTTCAAATGCGGTGAAGCTGAAAAAAACCAGGCTCAAATATTGTTGCTGGAAACGCAAAAATCATCAGCGAAATCATAAAATGGCACTATTCAACTATACCACCCCAAAAAAGAGAAATTTTTCGGTGAAACTTTGCCCACAGAGGTAATTCGGTGTCTTGATCACGAATATAGCACTTTTTCGGCGCTGGCGCCAAATTGGCGCCAGTTTCGCGCCGCCACATTTCGCACCAAACCAAAACATAATGGGGTTGTTTGATGCCCTGATCACGAATATGACATTTTTTCGACGCCAGCGCATTTTAGCGCTAAGAATGAATGTGATATTTGTAATCAAGATGTCAGATAACCTCCGTATACCAAGTTTTCAGTGACCTAGGATATTTCAGCGCCGGCGTCAGGCGATTTCAGGCCAAGTGGATGTGAAATCCGTGTTCAGGTGGTCGAATTACCCCGGGAACCCAACGTTCAGCCAAATCTGCCCCCATAGAAAATGTCGATTAAGATCCGGCCTGTTTTCGGAAATTTGGGGTAGTAATGGTTGAAAGTCCCCATAAAATGATACGGAAAAACTCAGAGAAGCCATTAACAACATGAAAAATCGGCTACGACGGTCACAGGATATCTGCCGACCGCGAAGCCCCCCTGTCCTCCTTCCTTTTTCTTCTTTCCCTCTCATCCTTCTTCATTTTCCTTCCTCAAGATGTCTGAACAGAAGATGCGATGAGAAAACTCCTCTGACCCTCACAGCGAGAGAGCACCCGGCTGACAAATGTCTTATAACCTTTTTTCAGGTAAAGGCGTCGAATATGATGTGAGTCCGTAGCCGTCTATCGCAATGCACTCAACCTCACGCCTAAATTCTTTTGTGAGCCACTTGCGCCGTACTGAATAATCGTTATTGTTGGCGTGTCGAATCTCCATTCCCTCGGCGTCTGCGCCTCTCCAGCCGACTAACTCTAGCAGATATTCTGTGAGCGCGCGATGTCGCACAAGGAAGTAACACTCCACATCCTGTGATGGTGCCGCCCTCGCCACCTCGGAAGCCTGTCGGCGTGTCGAGGATGAAGTCCGGGTGGCAGCAACCCAATAGCAGCAAAATTCAAAATCTCATGAACTCTATTTCGCGGTCACATGACACCAGATGGGAGTTGGAGCTGAGCTAGAAAACCACATGACACCTGATATAATATTGGCCTCCCCCCATATAGACTAGTGCTTTCATTCAGTCCACTGTTTGGTACACACAGCCTCCACAAAAACGACTATAAACATAGGTATAAGTTTCCTTTATCAGCAGATCTCTTTCATAACTACTCTCTTCTCATTTCACTGATGGATCCAAAGCTGCGTGATGGCTCTCCTATATAGTGCGACTCCAAATGGCAAAAAAGGCATAGTGGGGATGAGCAATGAGAAAGAGCAACCAAACGCGAGCAGGATTAGGAGAAGAAAGGAGACCTTATCCTCTGAATGAAATACGACCGATCACCTCCATGCGGTAGACAAGCTCATCAAAAGTAACAGATACTTTTTTGTCTCACTCTCAATAATTCGGGGCTTTTCGACTCCACCAAAACGAAAGAGGTCATCCAAACCCTGAGCACCCCTACTGGGGAGAAGAACAAGGCAATGGTAATGTGTCACGTCAGCACACGACCATATTACGATTGTCTCGTCACGTACCCCCCCCCCTCCTCCCCTAGTGCTCCTTCTCAGAAAATATCGACTTTGACGAGAAGATAGACACCGCTGACGAGATGTCGGGACTCGATAAGGTGGTATTCTGGCCCACTGCGTATCGAAAGCGACTTTGCCTGTAACTACCCATGCTACTTCCACAAAAGGAGAAACGGAACATTTCTATTCGTAGTAGAATAGGATCGGTCAACTGAAATGATACATAAGTAAACGTTCAACAGTATTGCACAAGATTTCCATCTTCACTACAGACTCAAAACAAGATATAGTACCTTTATTACTACTTCCAGCACTTATCGCACAATTCCATCACAACAAGCTAATAATTACTATGTACTCCGGTAAACGTTGTTCATAATATCTACGTACAATTACGTTACTGCCGCCATCAAAGCCTATCCATCATATTTACATTAGAACACTTGCACAACCCTCTTAAAAATGATGCTTTGAATTACATAGTGACTCCGATTCAGACCCAATAGTCGAGCCTTATTAAACCACCGAATGTTAAGTGAAAGAAGTTCATCGATAAAGTGCACAATGGAATCAAAGCGCAGTGATGTCATAGAAGAAAATCCATACGAACAATTATTTGAGATCATCTTCCTCTTCTTTGCTGATGGATCGCTTAATCTTAACAAGCAATCCTGTATGCCATTGGTCAAGTCGACTGATTTTATCGAATGATTTAACAGTATCCGTGAAGAGCTCTTCGTTGCCATCTTCCAAACAAGCAATAAGGTCCTTAATACGTAAAAATTTCAATAGTATTCGCTGTGTAATTATATGTGCCATAATATTAATATTATCAGTCTTAGGCAGCCATCAGACTTTGCGACGACTCGCTGCGACACGCTTCCACTGCTAGGCGACTCGACTGATCAAGGCCACCGCTAGTGTTCTGACAGAGTAAAGGGCGATAGATTTGGTGTTTGTGTAGTTGAACCCCAGTCTCGTATCGATCGCCTTCGGCCGCTAATGTTCACTAGAGTGTGGAAGAATAGGAGAGTACAGGCTGTATGTGATTCTGCAGCGTGTACCCTCCTGGTGTCCCTTACTCTCTCGAAACAGTAGGGACCGGCGCCGATCGATACCCGTCTATGGTTGCGTTCCAGTGTATTGCATTGGAGCCGTATTGAAACAGCAGAGCCGTAGTCCGACGCAATGAGTCACTGCGAAGTCTGAACGCTGCCTTAATTTTTTGACAGTTTGTATCAGAGAGGAAAAAGAGGTGTACCAACAACGGCTATGATCCGCGTGCGAGTCTCCTATCCTCTCTGCCTCTCTTTCATCTGCCAGTGCCACGCTGTCACCAACGCTTTTTATTGTTCTTACTGGGGGTGGTGGCCAGGTCGAAGTGGCCATTTGTAAAGAGACGTATATCACGGGACGTGTTTTTGAACGCTGATTTCAAATCTGCCTTCGAAATTTGCAGAACGATTCTCTGAAAGGAATTATGAAGGTTTGTTAGAATTAAAATGAAGGAAAACGTAGCCAGCCAATTTGCATGCATGACCGAAAAGCACCCCCACGCCGCAACGGCGGCACGGTCCAGTGGTAGTAATCTTGCTTCGCGGGCATGCCATGGAAGTCTCGGGTTTATAAGAGGGGACTTTTTTGCATTTCGTGAGGAATGTCTCTTTTAAGTCTAGAAAACACTCAAACGCCAAATGGGTGTCCATATTCGTGTTCAGGGAGCAAAACTACCCTTGGGGACAGGTTTCTAGCCAGATGTGAGGTTTTGACCTAACTTTGAAAAGTGCGGTAGCAGTTGATCGAATGATGGTCACCAATAGTTCCAGGGCCAGTCTCTTGTCGATTGCTTGTCTTTGGACGGAGCTTTTAGATACCAGGAAAACTGGAGCAGTAACAAAATGAATGCGTAAGAAGTGGCAAGACGAGGCTTTGTGCAGGAGAATGTATCTGCAGCTGAATAGGTGTGAACATCAACTGAACTAACCCATGGATGCTTCACTTTTCGAAGTCAGGTCAAAATGCCAGATTTGGCTAGAAACCTCTACCTAGGCGTAGTTCGCCCCCATAAACACGAATATGGCACTCGCTCAGCGCGAAAACGCCTGCACTGCGCGCCAAGGGCACCTGTACATCCAAAAATTCTCCTAGATCATAAGGCACTAAGCGCGCCAGTAAGCGAACGCAAATGTTTTTCAGGCAAGTCAAGGAGAGCGCTAATGTAGTAGTGACGCTACAACCACTTCAAGAAGCAAAAAAGTTAAGCTCAGCAGGGATCCGATCCCATGACCTGTTGCGTGGTAAACGCGGTGGAAAAAGCTCCATAACTCCGTTCAGAGAATCGCTTTGCAAATTTCGAAGGCAGATTCGAGATCAGCGTCCAAAACCACGTCTAGTGAGCTACATCTCATCACAAATGGCCACTTCGACCTGACGACCTTCCCTAGTTAGATATTGTTTGACTGGCATACACTGAACCAATGCCGGAATGGAATTCAGCGGAAAATGCCGAAAATCATAAAGGCGTTCCATTGAGCAAGAATATGGCGGATATTAAGCGCCCGCTTCCGGCGATTTACTTCCACCATTTTCTGCTGTCACCGATAGCAAATCATTTCACCTTGATCAATTTAGCCTCACGAGTGTCTGCAAATGAAGGGGAAGCGTCTTCGTAGCGTTTCAGAGCATGTTGAGCATCAAGCTGAAAATTTCACATAATCTAACGCTTATTTAGTCACTCGGTGCAGCTTACTTTAGAACTGCCCTACACAAAAACGGCACTAGTTACCCTTTACTGCCCCAATCTCCCAAAAACTGACCAGTTTTTGATCGACTTTTTTCTGCGTAGGCAAAACTGGCTGAAAATTTGGCAAACTGGTTGTTCTCTGGGGTGGTTTGACCTCCTGAATGTGAACATCACATCCGCTCGGCACGAAACCTTGGCGCCCGCGCCACAGGCGCCGGCGCCAAAATACTTGAAATCACCAAATTCGCTGAAAACTTGTTCCCAGGGGTAGTCTGACCTCCTGAACACGAATATCACATCCGCTCAGCCGAAACCTCCTGGCGCCCGCGCTACAGGCGCTGGCGCCAAAATACCCCAATCACCGGCGCCTGTGGCGCGGGCGCCAGGAAGTTTCGGGCTAAGCGAATGTGATATTCGTATTCAGGGGTCAAACTACCCCAGGAGACAACATTTGAGCCAAATCTGTCCACGGAGAAAAAAGTCGGTCAAACTGGCTCAATTCTGGATGGTTGAGCAGTAAACGGTAAAGAGTACCAAAAAAAAACACCGCGTAAGAAAAGTCTTGTCAATCAGCAGCTTCCACTTACCACATCAATGCAAAGATAGCACAAAAGAGCTTGGAAGAAATGATTTTTAGCAGCATATTTCAGAGTAGGATGGTCCGCCTCCCACATGGCAATCTCCTCGAACACCGCAATAGCTTTCTGGTACTGTTCCAATTGTGCAGCATACTGTAAGAAGTAAAACTTAACATTTTGTCAAAAGTTTTAATCAAAAAATCTGGTAACTTCCAGTTTTACAGATAAAAGCGCTCAAAAGATAAGAACATTACATGCTAGAAAATAGGCACGAGCGTGTGGATACAAATTTTCTCCGGAATATACAAATTCCCCCAATATCTCTTACGATTGACTCTTTTTTATTTTTTTAAAGTTTAGGTATAAATCTTTTTGCCTCAAAAATCACGGGTTGCTGATGTGGTCCCTCCTCTTTTTCTCTATAAACTGCTCTTGTCTTCAAAGTTTTGGGAAATAGAAAGGAGTCTGAGCTTCACTACCAAGGGTGGATGTCCCTTCAAGGACAAACTACCAATTAACAGCTGATCGATTTCTCAAAAGAAAGAGTGTCAGGGAATGAGAGTGATGGCAGAAGACTTGGTGGACGAAGCCAGGAATAAAGGATAAAGTCTTCGCCGTTGATCAATCCCTTTGTGGGATGCGGCACGCATTCTACTTCCATTCAGAATCGTAGTGGCTTATTGAATGCGATGTGGCCTATACAATGACTTGCGGGGCCAGCCGATGTACAAGTCAGTGTTCTTATCCTCCCAGACGAATCTGGTACCAATACTATCCCCAGGGGTAGACGTCTTGGTTGGCCTGAGCGGGAGGGAACGTGGTCTCTGGATAGCTAAATCCCAGAAAGCTGCTAGATGTTCAGAAAGCATCGCAGTTAAGCATCCAAAGTTAAAGCAGTGACGGGTAAATTAAAGACGGGAGAATGGGACGATGTATGAATGCTGTTTCAAGTGTTGGACCCTCGCCTACACTCGAACACAGACACGCCGCAAACTTTCTGCACAAGAAATGCCAAAAAGTCACTCTCATGCGTTCAAGACTTCAAGTGGAAAGTGGTCAGCAAATTGCAGTAAATCGCTGAACGCTTCCGCTTTAACGGCAGAAACACCCACGTCAATGAGGAAATGCGTGTCGATTAGAAGTGAAAGATGGATAAGCTAAAAATGCGTCACGTCGAGGGCCCGCCCAAGAACTCGCACTCAGAACAAATTTAAAATGAACATGCCTTGAATCTGAGGTAAATTGCATTTAATTTCAGTCAAACTGCAGACATGAGGTCAGCCACATAAACTGTTGAGCTACGGTGCCCTATCCGAAGTGGCCTTACATTGAGCGTGGGTGTGCTCCCACTAGAATATAAAATACGGATTTCAGCATTATTCACCCTTTGCCACCAGTATTCCAAGGTAAGGTCAGAACTTAGAATTGGCTGGAAATTGGTCCCTATGGGAGTTCGACCTGGTGAAAACGGATATCACAACCGCGTAGCACGAAACCGCTTGGCGCTCGCGCAACGGCCGCAGGCGCCAAAATACCCTTAACCCACTGAATTCGCTGAAAGCTTGTTTCAAGTTTAGTTTGATCGAATACAGTTTCACATCTGCTTCGTCTGAAACTGTCTAACTCATGCTCCACAAGCAACGGCACCGCTGACTCCAGCACCGGTATAGCCCGGATTCCAGTCGGTTTTGTTCGATGTGCTAGGGCAGTTAGGGAGACACGACGAGAAGTGGCAGCATTCTCTCTGATTACCAGTGATAACGATCCTTCCCTTACTAAAGCTTAGCCTTAGCAGAGGAAGCAATCTCTGTTAAGGAAGGGTGCGGACGAGCAGAAGCAGGCTGCACTCAAATGTGTACTCCGTTCACCCCATCGTTAACTTTCCCGGCACACCATGCAGATGTGACAGTCATGTTCAGATCAACTACTACAAGGAAAATATTCTGAGCCACTCATTTGTGCACCTTGGCGCCAATTATTAGGATGGCCCATAAGTAATGGCGTTTTTTGTCACACAATTTTTATATGGGAAATGACAGTTGTTCCCAATATGTTCTACACTGTTTGATAGATAATTTTCCGCACTATAAAACAGTATAATTGCCTTTTTACTACTATCTCTCGAGTTTTGTCGATTTTTATTCATTGAAAGGGATTCAGGTCAACCCAAAAGTGAGTTTTCGACAACTACTTTTTGAATTTTATCTCGGCTCTCAATCTACAGAAGAAGCTCAAACCTTGTGATATATATGACCAAAAAAAGATGCGTCTTATGACAGCTTGAAGTTGGTTCAAGCGATCAAGAGGTGGGAATTCGGACCTTGTAAAAGAGCATCGCGTGGGGGCCCTCTTGGGGAGGGACTGCCTGCACAACCTACGCCCCCCCCCTATTTTCGAACGTTTAACATCAGTCTGAGGGTGGTGGTTGATAATGATAAGAAAGCATTCTATGACCCTCAACCTTTGGCATGATTCTCAGTTAATAAGGTAATTCCGTAAGCTCTTAGTTGGACTCGATATGGCATTAGGTCCGATGCTTGAATGCGAGGTCAAAATTAAAATCTTCGGATTACTTAAATTAATTTTTAGAGAAAATTGTGAGCATTCCTAAGAGACATAGCCTTTGGCCATATACTTAGCAACTGAGCCTGTACGCTCTGAGCTTTCTAATTACAGTTTGGTCGACCTGACACTCCAGTTTGAGCACTTAAATATTAATTTAGAGAAAAGAAAAAGGAAAGAGAAAATTGAAGAAAGCTGGGTATCGTGTAGGGCAAGGCAATTCTCTGCAAAACGGTATAAAACTCAATGGCAAACTTTTCTTTTTCAGCGCGATATTTCGAGTGAGGAAAAAACGCCATTACTTGTGGGCCGACCCAAAATATTTCAGAAGGTCAAACTGCCCCTAGAGGCAACGCTCTAGTCAGTTCTACCTTTGGAAAAAAGTCATAGGAACATTGAAGTAGTGAAGGATATATAGTGCCCGGATTTGTAGTCAAAATTTAAACACACATCAGTTGATATCAATGTCATTTCAGACGTCACCACTTGCCGCCCTTTCCAGGCAAGGTTTTAGATGTCGATGTTATTGGAAAGTGGCTACAACCAAGATCGGAAGAAGAAGGGTATAAAGAAATTGAATGTAATGAGGCAACAGGTTATTTTGCTGCCGTTCGCTTAAAACCAATGAAAAGAATATCCAACAAGTCTTCTGGTCACATTTGTAAAGATGGTAATAGGAAGAGGAAAAAAACTAGTAACAAAATTGCAGCAGTCAAAGTTCACCAACCTGAGCCACTTTAATCAAACATTTCGTAGCGCTACTCTTGGACTCTTCTCCTTTATAATAATCTGCTGCTTTTTGATAATGCTGAATACACTGCTCCGTATCAGGGCATTCCGTCTCAAACCTGCATAGACTGTCAAGATGATACCACGAAACCTTACAGTGAAGAAAAAAGACAGCGAAACAACATCAAATAGAACAACACAAAAAACTACTTTTGTCATTAACAACAGACTCAAAACACTCACAGTTCTGCAATCGTAACGTGATTTTTCGCTGCCATATTGAAGCGGCCCATATCTGTGTAGATTTCAGCAGTTTTCAATAAACAATCCACAGCTAGCTAAAAGAGCTTCAATGATTGACAGAACGCGCAACGAAATACATGTCGAAACTGTGATCGAGATGCTTCTACGACAAATCATTTATAAAAAACCTTAACAAATACTCTAATAGGCCTAGATTGCTTGGCGCTAGGCACTCGGATGGGCGGGGGTATCCACAGCGCCTGTGTAATCCTTTTCTGAACAATCCGTTGGCATATACTACAAAAGGCCAGATCCTCTCTGCAGCAGTACGACTCTGTCCCGGCGTCCAAGCATAAGGCTCCATCTGTAGTTTCTCAGCGTTCTGCATCAGCGATCAGGAAGTATAGATATCGATCTACCGTTTTGAGCGAACGCTATAGTTTTCACGCAAAACATTAACGCAGCCTGGTTCTTGGTCAGAGAAAGAAACACAAATGGACACTATTTTTGCTCAGACTAGTGTTCGCCTCGGAAGGGAATAGCCTGTTACTCACGCGTTGTGAAATTCATGACTGCGTCAAAGCAGGCTGCAATTTCTAAGGAGCGAGTGAGCTCCAATATAAGCTGGCCACCTCGAACGCTCCAATTTTTCTCCGTAATAAGTAGTTCATCCCTATCGAAGTTCCTCTTCCTCTCAAATTACAGGCTGCTCCAAGTGTTGACGTAAAATTACAGATGGCCGAGGCAAACAACGCTATTTCAGCATATACAAATAGCGCCAAAACGCCAAGCATTCAGATGCATATGCAAGTAATGTGAACATTCAATTGAATGAATTTAAATTCTCAAAACTCATATAAAGAAGCACTTGCCTGAGGATTAACTTTCCTATAACAATTTGCGGCTTCTGCATACTGACTCGCACAATCATGTTTAGAATCTCCCTTAACACATCAATGCCATGTGGGAAATCAAGTAGAAAAAAAAAACGAAAAACCTTTGCTCCATGAAGTTCAGCCGCCCTGACAAACGCATCGCCACCTTCTTTCCATAATTTTGCCATTTTAAACAAATTTCCAGCCTGACAAATGAGATACTTATGGCATGAACCACAAGCTATAGCACAACACAATTGCATCATAGCTGTTTTATTATCAGTTTAGAGGTAAGTTTTCAAATGAGCTTCAAAGGAGCAAGGTCTTTCAAACATCGTAGTCCTTGGGCTGTGAATGTCGCACTTTACGAACACCTTGGAATCCTCTCTCTTGTCCTTCTCCAAAACGTATTGCTCTTGGCACAGCATTCTTCTTTCGCGAGGAAACGGCTAGTTTGTCTAGAGAAGACCCGAGATCACAGACTCTCTTGGCAAGTTTCCGTCGTTCTATAATGACTTCAGCGCTGTCGATAGCATGCCGTTCGCGACAATGTTTGTCACGTTCGCCTTCTTCGGCAAAGCTCTCGTCACAATGATCATGGTAACATTTGAAATGAAGACCACTTGGATTTTGTTCCATCCGTAATTTGTGGAAAGGACAATGTTTCTCGTCACTGTGCACGTCTAGAGCTTTGTTTGTGATGAACATTTTCGAGCAGGCAACGCACTGATGCGAGTGAGCAGCGTCGTAGTGCGACTCGAAATCGACGATATTGGAGAATTCACGGCCGCACAAGTCACATTCCGTTACAGCGTCACTACAAGTAGTTGACGTATCAACAATACCATCTCCATCATCGACGACTTCCGATTCTTCAACGTCGTGCTAAGAAACTAATTTTTAGGCTTTTCTATCGAATCACACTTTAGCAATGAAATGGAAAACATCTAACTGAAATTTTCAGCTCAAATATCTTGATATAAGACCGTGAAGTAAGTACAACAAAAAGCGAGAAACAAAAAAATAACATGCAAGCTGTCCCGAAGCCAGGTAAATGATGGTTATTTTAGGTAAGTTCCAATGCCTGGTAAGTGTTGGATAGTTTCTATTGGTATAAAGGATGATAGGTAAAGCCTTTGCCGCAATCCTTTCTCGATATACGGAACGCATTCAGAATTCTACTGGTTTAAAGACTACGATGCGGCCTGTAGAATGTGGGGCCGAAGTACAAGTTAGTGTTCCTATCCTTCCAGACGAATTCGCCACCAATGTACCGTCCCCGGAGGATAGATTACCTTTCTGGCCTGGGCGGAAGCTTATCCGGGACGTATGTTAGATGTTCTACCTTTGTTTTAGATACGGGGACCTTCATGCATCTGCCAGTGACAGGAAATCAGACGCTTCCAGAACTCGGAGTTTTTAGGATAGGAAACCGAAGACGGATTAGTTTTGAAAGCACATGAGGAACGGAGCTTCCCATTCGGCGAAAAGTTGTACATGAAGAAAAAAGGCGATAATCATTTGGGCAATTATCTTGACTAAATACTGAATGAGGCGGACGTGGTGTAGTGACCAGCGGCACGCTTACCACGTGGTGCCATTCGAGAGTCCGAACGTGAATTCGTTTGTGAGGATAAGAGCACTGTCATGTATATTGACTGGATTACCAGTCATTCTGTAGAGTACATCGCTGCGAATGAAAGTATAGTGTAGTTCACTGCGTACGGTTGGGCGTGTCCGTCGCCAGCGTTTGGTGTCAAACTCGTCCTCCACCAGTTGTTGAAGCGGGCAAGTGACAATACTGTATCATATCCTTCGTATTACTCGTTTTCTACCACTTTTTGTCGCATGCGCGTTTCAACAAGAAGGCAGAGAACAGCTCAAAGAGGGTGACACACTCATACTGGCTGACACGCCCAACCGTCCGCAGCGAACTAGAGTGTAGTATGTGTGCCGCACCTCAAAAAGGGATTGATTGGCGACGAGAATTTTATCTTCATCCTGATACTGGATGAGGTAAAACTTAGGCCTACTCAAACATTTGCCCCCACTCATGTTCCTTTGAGGCTTCAAAAGGATAAGTTATTTGGATAAGGAAGTGAGAAACTCATCCAGCAAGTTCGTTCTCTTCGCATGGTGGCGTGGTAGAAATTATCAATTCATTACAATCGAAATACTCTGCCAGATGAGTTTTTGCTTGGCGGTGTATTCCAATTAGATTGAGTAGACCATCTCTTCACTCAAAGCTGCCTTTCGAACCCCTTGAAGTACCAGATACCGAATGGATCATCAACATCTGAGGAGCCCCTCAGATGTTGATGTCCGTTCGTCGGATTTTGTTTTAACTGGATTGATGGATTTTTTAACCTGGCCCGACTTTGAAGTCATACAGTTGGAACATGTGCGCTTGATATCTAGACCGAGGTATGACTTCAAGTGGTTTGGAAAAATACAAAAATCAATCACTGTATTGAAGGTATATCATTGATAACAAAAAGCATGTTGAGCAGAAAATGTCACCAAAAGGATCCTTCCAAAGCACTGATTCTTCACAGATTGCCATAAAAGGCGGTTCGAAAGACACTAATTCTGTTTCTGCACCTCTTGGTAAAAGCAAGTGTAGTTGGCGGGTGCATTCATGCCACTTTGGGTAAGCGATTCTCAGTTGTCTCGCATATTGTTATGTTACAAATACTATTCCACAAAACAAAATGAGCGGATATGTGCATCGCTGAACAAACAATTGCCGAACGTCATATCCATCAAACGCTTTAGAGAGATGTCAGGTCCGATCAGTAAATGCAAAACAATCAATGCGAAGATATAAAGAACGAAAAAGTAAGTAACTCAATCACTTTCGAAAGTTCCAATGTTGCTCAACAGTGCCCAGTGCAAAAGAATAAAAGTTTCGAGGAAAACCGAGAAGTTCGTGAGGCGCAGTACGCCGCCGGGAGGAGGGGGGGGGGAAGGGGGCATTTTTCACTTTCGCTGCTCCCGGGCTCGCTGCTTTACAAGAGCTGAAAAGTATTCTTTCCAGTAGTTGACAAGTAGTTTCTACTTGTCACCATACTTCACAAATCTCTACTTGATGACTCGACACGACAGTGGAAGCAATGTGCAATGCACCCACCCCCCCCCCTCACCGAAAGCGCCGTTCTTGATATTCCTGAGTACCTATCGGCGCATGTCGCCTTTGTCAGCAACCTGAAGTATTTAACAACTAGTGTTTCAGTGACCGACGGGGTACCGCACCATAATAAGCGTTTGGACATCGAAATCTTCAAGCTCCCTCCAAAACTTTTAGATTTTTCCAATAAACTCGGGGCCTCCTCATTTTGTACAACGATCAGTCTAATGAGGCTCCGAGACACCATACTAAAATATATCACTTTGTACCACCTGCGCAACCAATGTGGTAGGGTGGCGCTTCCTTTTTTTCGATTTGAAAAAAGGCATGAATAAATAAATGAAGTGGTGATGTCGTACCTGAATGAAAAGGTCAGCAGCTTCATCAGATCCACCCCCTCCAAAAATTTTGCCAAGCAAGCCTCCACCGCCTCGCGTTTTCTTCTCAGCCTCTTCCAACTTACGCCGGGCTTTCGTTTCGCTATCTGCCATCACTAAACGCACAACTTCAGCAACTTGTCTTAAACAATATAGAACAACGGAAACTGCGACTCGTATATGCTGGAGATGGAAAACTACACAATCAATAACGGCAGCTAGATTTCGACGACAGAAGAGTAAAGTAAACATAAGACTCGTGGCATAAAAAATACCAAAACCTGGAAAAGGAGCTTGGTGGCTATTAGACTCCCTCCTAACTGTCGCCAGAAAATTCGAATGCCAGGCCACCAAATAGGGTGTGAAGGAGGAAGGATCGATACTTGGCGGCGTGTTGAGCAGAGCGCTTTCGCCGGAGCACTTATTTAGATGTTACTAGATATCGCTTCCTCTAATGCACCATGTCGTTGGCTTCTCATGCATAGTGAGTTACTACGATGTATCGCAAAAAGTCTTTCCCAAAGAAAACGATATGAATAGAAAAAATTTGAAGAAAAAAACATCTTCACAAACATCCCGGCCACATTGGGAAGCAAATTCGCTGTCAACGAAAAACAATGCACCACACCTATTTGTGACGTGTGCCATCGATCAAATCTTGGTGGAAAACAAGTCCCGAGAAAATCAATGCACCACCCGGTTCCTTCTTCGCATTTTCAAGCTCAACAGCAGATCAACTGATTTTTCAGACAACATGGATTTATTTCAACTTTTGTAAAAAATCGAAAAGAAGAACAACAAAGGAACAGCTCATCGCTGATTCAGCGGCAACATGCGTTGATGTCACCATCGCAAAACTACAGTAAACCAGGCTAACGGCTTCTGCCCGTTTGTAACAAAGTTCGAGACAAAGGAAAAACGCAAAACTTTGCACTAATCAAGCAAATACTAAAGCAATGCTATCACCTTTCAAAGCATTCTCGAAGCTATCAACACCTAAGCAGCCATGATCGACTTTCAATGAACTTGGTATCGTGTGAGGTTTCCTCGAAATGCAGTAACCACGGCGGCGCATTAAAAAAGCTCTATTTGGCTAACGTTTTGGCAAAGTTGCCTTCGACGAATGGAAAGTCGAAGATATTAACGATCACCGCCAACCGCTATTCCACAATCAAAACCAGTTTACCATAGACTGAATTTCGCAAGATTATGACGACCGCAATAATCAACTGCCCGGATGACGAGCGTTAAGTACGGTAGTTTTTCGAAAAATTCCAATCCTACATTTAGTGACTTATGGAGTCGATGTCTATACTTTCCCAGTTGCTG